GAATTTTATTTTTGATCAAAAGACTCCTAGCTAAATATGAGTAGAAATATACTGTGTTTTTTTTAAGAGTTAAATACTGTACTTGCTAACTTACTAAAACCCTTGCCTCGTGTTCATTGAAAAACTTGAATGCACAGGTATAGGGATCCAGTTGGAGAGGGTGATAATTACATTTATAAGGTATTAATAAACTAGTAAAATATGTTTCAGCCATTGGATGATCCTGGATTCAAACGGTTTGCTCTGGCCTTTCAGCCATGTTAATTTGCTCATACTTATCTTTGCTCAGGCCAGCCTGAAATTCACCCTTGGAATGTTCTCCCCTCCTTCCAAACTACCTAGTAAAATGCTTTTCATCCTTTAATGCCTGGCTCAAACATCACCCTCTCCTCAAGTTTTCTTTGATCATATCTACTCACAATGATCTTTCCTTCACTTGAATTTCCATGTTACTAATGATTTACTGATCTGTACCGATCTCTTATTGTTTTTGTGTCTTATTGTTCCAAATAGACGATAAGCTTTTCAAAAAACAGAGCTATGGTTTGCTTTCTGTATCCCACTCAATGCTGAACATAATGGCACATGATAAAGGTTCGAGAAACAAAAATATTCATTCTTCTATGTTTATGGCCCTGCCAGTCTGTACTTAAATAAGATTTCAAAAAGCAAAGTCAATTTATTTTTTATTTGAAAATACTGAAATAACAATATCAAAGCAAGCGCAATTCTGGTGTGGGTTAGGAGGTCTTTGATTTTTCTGACATCTCCATTTTTACTTAACCTGCTTAGATTAAAGAGCCTTTGGCTATTTTACCCCAAGATGCGTTCCAAAGCAAAGCAGCCTTAACAACAATTCTTTGTTGACTAGTTCAAAATTGAAAATGAGACAGTACTTTCAATAGTAACACTGAAAAAAATGTATACTAAGTGATTATTACTTTAAAAACTCTTTCTTTACCAGGGATAGTAAAGTATTGCTATCTTTGTGTGTGAGGAGATGTGTTAAATCTTTAAGTTTGTACCATTTTCTTTTTGTTTCAAATGTATGTTAAACTTCATATATCATGAAAACAAAACTGGCTTTGAGAAGTCAGACTGAAAGATCAGGCTTATGCTGTAAATTATTACAGGCACTCTTCAGTGTTGGGTTTGAGCACAGTGTTAGCACATAATTGTTATTTACTAAGTCCTAGGCACTCTTCTGGGGTAGCTAGAATGAGTGGAATAACTCATTTAACCCTCACAATAATTTTAAGAGGGAATTACTAGTATTATGATCCCCATTTTACAAATAGGGGAATCGAAGCACAAAGAGGTTATATAAGTTGTTCAAGGCTGAACTCAAGGAGGAAGCAGAACAACCAGATTTTGAACCCAAGCAATCAGTCTGGCTCCAGATTCCCTTCTCTAACCACCATACCACACTGTGTCTCTAAACAAGGAAGGTCTTAGGACTGGGCACTGAGCAGTGTCTCTTTACAAAACATGTAGCAAAATGGCTCAGTCAGTAGAGCATGTGACTTGATCTCAGGGTCACAAGTTCAAGCCCCATGTTGAATGTGGAGCCTACTTAAAAAAAAAAAAAAGCTAGAAAAAAAACACAAAACTTGTGGCAAAAACTTCTAGAGCTTCAAAGAGTACCTCCATCAAGACATCTTTAAAAAAAAGATTTATCAGTTTGAACCTATATATATATTATGTATATTGTATGTATATGTGAATGTATATGTATACTATATATTATGTATATAGTATATATAATATATATAAAATGTATAAATAATGATATATACTATATATATATATAAATAATATAATACTAATAGGACTATATCTGGCATAGACATTCCTCTGGAAGGAAAATAAACACAGATGGATTTGTGTCCAGGCTTTAGACAGCTCTACTGTATTATAGTCAAGAACATACCATAGGTTTCTTTCTTTGATTACATCTGAAATAATGAAGTAGAGATGGAATTTTGGTGCTTCCTCTCAAAAAAAATTACATGTGCTTTTCCCACATGCTGAACAGGAGACTGCCAATACACACCGGACTGCGGATAAAGCAACCACACAACGCTCTGGCTGTTGCTGAGCACACATTAATAAAAAATGCTTGGTGTTACTACTGGCTCAAACTATAGCTTGTTTGTTCTCTTGGGAAGGAAAAAAAAGCCAGAAATCAGGTTTTGAGGATTTCAATAAAGAGTTGGAGCAAACAGTGAACCCTTTCAGTACTTGAAATCACATGTGACACCATCATGGAGACTGCTTCCTAGGGTACCTCCCATTTATGGGTTTACAAGCACATGTTTGTTAAAGTCCTGACATACATAACTTTAGAACTGCATAAAGGCAACAGGACAGAGATTGTCTGCTAATGTGTAGAATGTTATTTTTTAAAGACTGCCGTATTTTCTAATACAGAAATTTTATACAGATTAAATTATCCTGATTTAGTAAAGATGGCTCTCTGTGATGTGATTGGCTAAAAACCAAAATGTATGATGCTGCAGCACTGAAACATTTATTTTAATATTCAAGGAGGAAGCCATGTCTTGTGAGGTCCAAATGGACAGCTCTGGCCCAAATGTGAATGAAATAAAACAGTTTACTTTGTGGCTGTAAGAAATGTGCCTCTGTGTGTGTGTGTGTGTGTGTGTGTGTGTGTGTGTACAACAACTGTCCTGTGATACTTATTATAATTCATTATCATTTATGGTGACTCCCAACAGTATGACTACTGGATTTTTTAACTATTGAAAAAAAACCTAGCAAAGCTCAACTTCTTCATAATGCATTAATTACTCAACTGATTCCAGAGAAGTTTAGGTAGAACTTGGAGAGCATCTCTGAACTGAGTGAACATGTCTTCCTGGGCCAGTGGTGTATGGACTAGAGTAATTAGATCTTAGGTAAATCAGTAGAACCAAACAATGAGCCTCAAGCTTCAAACCTCTGTGAAGCAGTTAAATAACTTCCTGATTTCTTCATCCTGAAAACTATTTCTCGATGGAAAGCTAATTTTAATTATACCACCTAAGTTCTCCTCAAATCAAGATGCTCCCTAGGGTGTTCCTTATATATAAGGAAAGGGAAAACAAACATAATAAGCATGTGTTTAGCTGCACGTCTTAAACGTGTTTTCAGAGCATCAATGAAAAAACTGCAAGTCAGTGAAGTCTCCTGATAGTATTAAGGTATTAAGAGATTATACTAACCAACTAAAATTAAAATTTCTATTAAGTTATGCCTCTGAAAACTTTCCTCTGACTTCAGGAAATTTCTGCATTTTAAGTGATTCGAGTACAGGTTCTGCCCTAAAGAGGTTATTTGAGATTGGGCAAGTCACTCAACTTAGCGGGGCCTTAATCTCATCATCACTTAAATAATGAGATTTCAAAGGAAGGAGAGGTGAAGTAGAAGATAGGCCTTCAGTTTCTTTACTAAACCTAAATTCTATCACTCAAATCCATTTTGACATGGATTCAATATTGAATCTATTCATCAAGGTGCAATGACCATGTGTTTTTTATTCAGTATAACCCATGATGTTAATAAACTCCATCTTTCATAATTAGTGCCAAAATACACTCTTAGTTGATGATAATATATGGAGACAATGGACCAGGTGATCCAAAATTGAAGATAATTGTAAATTATATCAGTATGACATTGTCATTAATCTTTTACTTGGATTAATAGCAAATCTCACTTCTATTCACCAAAAACACAGTAGCTAGACACTTGGCAGTCAGGAGTCTGCTATGCGTGATGACAACACCAGCATAACTATAATATTTGTTTGGGAGAATCACAAAACAGATTCCATATGCAGATAATTAAGAATTGAGTGTATATACAAATCAGCATCAACACACATTGACTCAGCAAACACTTTAGAGTCTATTATGCTCTTGCTCCTAAGATGCAAATTTGCATAACATGTGATTCCTGCCCTCATGCAGCCAATACTCGAACTCTTGCTCTGACTCTGAGCAGCACGGGGCCTCCACCAATCTAACAGGCAAGAAGGAACCCTATTTTAAAAGATTCCAGAGAAGACTCCTAATTCATACGAACACTTAATGACTTCCAGTTAAAAATGTCCCTATTTCTCTAATCTAAATGTTTTACGCTTCTGCTGAAACTTCTTTTATTCTGTTTTATCTTGAGTACAGATGCAGAGAGAAAAATGGCCATTTTTAAATGAATTGGAACATATATACAAAAGTATTACATTTTTCTCTTACTATGACAATAATTTCACATCTTTTATCCTCCTTGAAAGGCCTTAGTTTGCATAGACAAAGCACTACATACCGACTTACTGGGTTTTTTTTTTTTTTTTTGGAAACAACAAACTTTATAGGAAACTGAAAAGGACCAGTGAGAATTAATGAAAAATAAAAAGAACATACACAATTGTACCTTCAAGAATTTCCATGGAACATTATGACCCATCAAATTAAGGTATCCACATTCTCTAACAAAAATGAACTGATCTGAGTAAGGACAGCATGAAAATATTCTAATGCAGTGCTGCCCAACAGAACTTTCTGTGATGATGGAAATGTTCCATTATCTCTGTTGTTGAATACAGAAGCTACTAGCCACATGAATACTCACAATGTGGCTAATGCAACTGACAAACTGAGTTTTTTTATTTATACAGCCACCTTTGGCTAGTGATTACCAACTGAACAGCACAGTTCTAATGCCTCATGGGTCAAAATCAGTGGTTTCTTCAAGGGATTTCTCTAATCCCTGCTGAGGGGTGTAGACAGTTGGGGGTGGAAAGAGAGGAAAGCTCTCAGCAGCTCTATTTAACTACTTAAACAAGTTCTGAAACTCTCCACAGCTTTCAGAGGCAAGGGCTGAGGAAAGGACTCTGGGGGAGACCTGAGTATGCCCTTGAACTCCTGGCTAACGCCAACGGAAGTAAAAGGCACAGGACTTGGCTCACGCAGATGGGCAAAGGCCTATGGTGCCACTCACAGAATCTGAGGCTTGGGCCATCTGTGCATGGAAATCGTTGCTGTAGGGCTGGCGGGGAGGTTGGGGTGCTCATTTCCGGACAGGGTTTCCAGGGCTAGAAGAGGATTTAGAGGTGGAGGGAGGACCCGGGGGCCCTTTCTGGCCACCTGCAGGCTGGACTGGCCCTTTCTTTTTGGGGATTAAGGTCTTGATCTTGCTCTTGAACACTTTGCTGGGATCCAGCTTGTTCACGAAGCAGTTGGTCTCTTCTGCAAGTAGGTCTGTGTTGTAGGTGATGGGTTTATACATGTTGAACCACTGCTTGGCCTGTGGGCTAATGCCATAGCTGGTGAAGGCGTACTGCCACTGTGGCAGGCCCAGGTGCGTGATGAGCAGGCGATAGTAAGCAGTGAAGGAATCGGTGAGAAAATGCCAGTATAACGCTCTGTCCAGGAACCAGATCTCAGCGTCTTGCGCTAACGCTGGTTTCCCTCTTTTGTAGACAAGGCAAACCTTCCCATTCCCATTGCAAGGATCCAGCTCAAATATCACACTGCGAGAATCAAAGTGAGGCTTCTCTGGCTGGTTCTCACTGGCTTCAAGTGCATCATCCTCCAGGTCTGCCAGAGTTGGTGCATTTGGGAGTGAATACATGGAAGACTGGTTGAGTTGAGTCAGTTTTGCGATGCTGTTAATTGCCATGCTGCCCAATGGAATGGTGTGCTCATCCAGCTTCACACTCCATGTCATGTGGAAGCCATTGGTCATCAGGTAAAAATTCTTCACATCCTCAGGTAGCACACAGTTATTTTTTTGTTCCCATGAAGAAATCATATGATGTTCAGCAGGTGGTTTCTCTATGATAGTCACCTCAGTCACACCTGGGGAAGATTCTAGGATGCGGGTGATCCCCAGAGTCGGCTTCTTCAGGTGCGGCTTGCTTCAGCCCGGGGGTGGCGTCTCCTCCTTGGCTCGCGTCCCCGCTCCGCGGGCGGCGGGGGCAGCGGCGGGGGCAGCAGCGGGGACGGACTACTTACTGGTTTTTTTTTTTTTTTTTTTTCATATTTTAAAAGCCAGATATATTTTTTTAAAAGATCATGCCTACAATAAGTAAATTATGTAGTGATGGAACATCAAAAAAAGTTGATGAACAAAAGGCACAATTCAAAGAGTTCGGGAGTAGAAAGAACAGAAGAGTTCTTTTTGGTTTGGTTCAAAGTAGGAGAAAAGGGAAACAGGTGTATTAAAATTATTTCTCAGGTGAAGGCATCTGTCAGTTGAAGCAGTTAACACTGGCTTCTTTCTCCCTGGTCCAAAGCAGTCTTTTCTTTCCTCCACTTCTGAGCATGTGTTTAATCTTCTGCTGTATAGAAGTGATACATCAGAGCCACCAGCACTGCTGAGATGGCTGGGATCACCCAGTTGGTCCACCAGCTGGAATTAGAATCAACAGTAGTAATGAGAGTTTCCGAAGGCTTGGTCAACTTTGCTCTATCATCTGGATGAAGTTCCCCAATGATGTACGTTGTGGACAATTCTCTAGCATCTGTAGAGTGTCCCACATCCTCAAAACTTTCAGTAGCATCCCCTCCAGCTTGTTCCCTTAACACTTCTTCCCCACCAGGATGCTCCTCCAAGAACTTGGTCAAATCGTACACCTTGTGGTGCAGAATCAACCAGGTGCTCCTGCTGTGGTTGTGCTTCTGGATCTCTTCCAGGGTGTAGTACTTGACAGTCTGGTCCGGCTGCTCGGCCATTTCGGAACGCGGCGAGCCTCAGGCCGTGCAAACACCAGCCGAGCCGGGAGAACTGGAGGGCGCGTCTCAGCCGGCTGGGCCCGGGACATTCCCGGGGCCCCGACCCAGCGCCCGCAGCAGGGCGGCCCCCGCCGCGGAGGGGGCGGTGGCTACTTACTGGTTTTTAAATATCCTTTTCTACCTAGTACTCATCTTTGTAGAACGCTTCTGAATCCTTTTCAATTTGTCTTCAGTCTTTTTTTATTTTTTTTCCTAGTTGAAGAGCCCCAGCTTAGAGACAAGCATCTGATTTAAGGGTGGTAAAATAGTAAAACTGAATCATTCCCCTACTCTGTACATAGTTTTTAATGTATCTTTCTGTTTCTTGCTTTCAAAACTTGGGCACCTACTGATTCACAAGCAACACACTATACAGTCTTTTCATCTTCTATTGTATTACCGCACCATTGCCTCTTCTTTATTCACCTCTATGTACCTTGTTTTCATCTTTCAGGGCGATTCTATATCTGCCCATATTGAAATCATTCTGTGATGATTCAGCACTTTCCCAGTTTCCCTAACTGAAATGGGTATCTGTTGTTTGTTAGTTTCTGTGCCCTGGCATCATCCTTTCCCCATGTTGTGGGATCATATCCCCTTCTTCTTACAGATAACAGATGACATACAGTTCTGGTTAAACTAGCCAAAGCAAACAGGTGACCCTCGTTGGGTAGTCATTGCTTCATCCTCAGGCCATACTGACTGGTTAAGAGATGGGAAATGACGCCAACAGTGTCTTCCCAGTTTTCATGGTGGAAAAGTGTATAGCTTTTCCAGAAGGATCACGTAGGCCAAGAGCGGCCAGTGGCCTCTTTTCCTGCCTCATAGAGAAAAACTGTCAATAATGAACGTAACAAAGGAACCCACAGGTGAGTCATGGAGTGAGACAATGCTAATGACATCTTCTGTATGCAGAGTGGCCTGAATCCTACCCTGCTCTGAAGGTTTTTACATACATGAGCTATGTGTTTTCCTAAAATAGTTTGAGTTAGATTTTTGTCAAATGCATTTTTAAATACTCCAAGAAGATGCATTTAGGACTTCCTAAATCCCCCCAAATAACTTGCACATTGTGAACATCAGGCTTAATACATACCTGATATGGTTACATATCTCCTATATATTCAGAATGTCCATGGGCAATAAGACAATATGAGAAAATGAACACATTGGGAATTCAGGGAGAGTTAATGATGGCATTATACACTAACTTGAATTGTGCTATCTGGAAGGGATCATACTGGCAGGAAAATTTGAGGTGTAAGTTGTTCTTTTTTTTTAAAGATTTTATTTATTTATTTGACAGAGACCCAGCAAGAGAGGGAACACAGGCAGGAGGAGTGGGAGAGGGAGAAGCAGGCTTCCCGCCAACAGGGAGCCTGATGCCATGCAGGGCTCGATCCCAGCACCCTGGGATCATGACCTGAGCTGAAGGCAGACGACTGAGCCACCCAGACGCCCCCCCTTTTTAACCAACTGATAACCCAGGCACCCCCCCTCTTTTTTTAACTAACTGATAACATAAGGGTATTCTTTCTTCAATGAATTCAAGCAAAACAGAGTTCTATACTGAGGTTAGGAGTTATATGTGACATCTCAATCCCCTACAGCTAGTCTTTCATCTGTACCAGAGTTCATTCTTAGAGCTTTGGAGAGAATCAGGTTCCTACGTGTATACATCTAAAATGCTCGCTGTCACTGAAATAGAAGTGAATTTATGCAATGAATCCCCAAGAGACTAGTTAATTCTCTCTAGGCACTCTGCCTGTGCAGTTGCCCATGCCAGAAATCTGAGAATTGTCCATGACTCTTTCTCCCTCTAAATCAAATCAATCACCCAAGACTGACAACTATCTTTTATAAGTATTTTTCAATCCATTCATTTCTTTTCATCTACAATGCCACTATCTATACACAGGTCACTATCACCTCTTGTCTGGCTTATGTAAACAAGCTTTCAACTCCACCGTCTGTATTCATTGATTTCCCTACAACCTCTTCCTCATCAACAATATGGTGGTGGTAGGAGAGGCTTTTACAATGCAAATATAATAAGGGTGTGTTCTCTCTCTTAACCTTGCAGTGACTGCATTGTTATCTGTCCAAAATCCAATCTGGCCTCTGCTTATTTTATTCTGATCTAATAATCCTGGCCTTTGAGTAGTTCCTCCAGTAATCCAGGCTTCCTCCAGTAGGATATTCCTTCTACTCTTAACCCGAGGATTGCTACTACTCTGATGGCCTTGTTTTCAAATGTTATTTCTCAGGGACACTCCTTTGACATCATCAACTAGATCAAGTCCCCCCAATGTACAATTTCATAAATCCATTTTTAATTTCCTCTGGCGGAACTTATCTAAATGGCAAAAACTTTTTTTAAAAAATTAAATTAGCCAACATATAGTATGTCATTAGTTTTTGATGTAAATGGCAAAAACTTTTAAGGCTTATTTGTTTAAAGCCTGTAAGCTTCCCAAAAGCAATCACTACATATACCTTGTCCCTTTCATATTCCTATTACTGTGAAGAGATCATTGATTATCTATCCATTTATCTAACTTTACTCCCCCTCCCCCAACTAAAATATGACAATATCTTTTCCCTGACCCATGGTAGGACACATGTTGGGACACACTTCTGTTTCTGCATGACTTACAAGCAGAAGCCCTGACAGCCTTTGTTCTGGACTATCTTTTCAAGAATGTAGGGATAGCCTTGGAAAATAGAGTAGTACTTTCCTCTGGAGCAGAGAGCAGACTTATTTGCTGTCTAGTATAATAAAGATGTGTCCTTCCAGGGTAAAGATCAGACAGATTTGCCTGCAGCCCATGGTCAAAACTGGGGGTTTCCTAGGCTTGAGAATCCTCAGGTGTGATGCAAGTCCACTACGTGTACAGCATCCACCTGGGCTGCCTTACACTGCCCCCTGCGTCTTGCGGGGGTAACGGGACCTGACGTGAACATGAGCAGTCTGCTTGCTGTGTCATGAATTGCTTTATCTCTGACCCAGAATTCTCATTTCTGACAGTATTCATGCACTGTGGAAGGCTAATTTGTTAGATAGCAAGGAGGGTAAAATTTCAGATATATCAGAGTTCCTAAGTCCAAGTGGGTCATCTATATCTTGTAATTCTTAACATTAAAAACAGTTAAAAAAAAAAACTTTTTTTGCATCTGATTTCCTACCAGAGACTTTTTACAAAAGATTTATTTATTTACTTGAGAGAGAGAGAGAGAGAAAGAAAGAACAAGCGGGGGGGATGGGCAGAGGGAGAGCGAGAAGCAGGCTCCCAACTGAGCAGAGAGCCCCACATGGGGCTCGATCCCAGGACCCCGAGATCATGACCTGAGCCTAACCTACTGGGCCATGCAGGCACCCCCCTACCAGAGACTCTTAAGCCATAAATTCTTAACCTGGGATATCAGCATGGGCTTCATGGGAACTATGAGTCCAATATATAAGCACTATTGTTTTAACAGAGTTCTTGAAACAAAAAAATTGCTTTCATCAGATTTTCTAAGGAGCCAGAAAAAAATATTAAAAAAAAAATGTAAGGGTGAATGCCTTACCTCCTTATGAATATTTTAGATTTATTTGGCATATATTAGAATTAAGTTGAAAGACAGTAATTTCTTCATTGAGTATATTTTAAATGTCAGATATCTGTGACACTTAATCTAAAATCTCTAATCTGTCAGCCTCCTTCTTTATGACATACTTTTGTTCTTAAGTCCTTGAGATAATATATGTGGTGTGAGTACGTAAATCTTAGCTAGCCAGGTGCAGGCATTGTACTAAGAGCTTTGCATGTATTAACTCAATTATTATTTGTAACATCTATATGAAGTAGGCATTATTATTAATATTATTATTAAATGTTACAGAGGAGAAAACTGAAGAGCGGAAAGGTTAAGTCACTTGTTCAAGGTCACACAGATAGTAAGTGATGCAAGAAGATGAGAAACTAGACAGGTAGGTGTACGAATTTATCTATGATCTTGACGCCTAAGCTGTACCGGCTTTTCACTTTGATTAAAAATCCAAGATCTTTTGGTTTTCCTTTTGTGTTATATATTGGCCTACATGTACTCCTTGATTTGAGCTCACTAAATTGGGCTAGTTAATAACATAAATACAAAATAGTAATAGTTTACCAACCACATTCTTGAAAATTATGTTCTTAAAATTTTTTGTATTTAAAAAAATCAGAATTAGTAAAAACATTTCAGAAAATTGGGGTTAAGCAAAAGTTGTAAAATGGGTCTGAAACATGTTGGGGAAGAAAAATATATTACTTCAAAATCTAATAAACAGAATTCTTTTTAGGGATACAATATTGTTAGTAAAACTCCTTAAAAAGCCATTGGGAGATAAATGCATGGGCCTCAAGAGAAAGGAAAGGTGAGATAAAGGAAAAGTTGACTTGCTCTTCAAAAAAAAGTGAGAAAATATGGTTCCTTTCCAGGGGCAGCCCAAGAGGGAGGCAGTGAGAGTTGAGGACATAAGAGGGGGTAGAGGACAGAGAACACAGGACAGACTGCATGATGGAAGGGCAGGGCTGGAATAAGAAATAGTCACTGAGGAAGTCTCTAAGTTACAGATGACAGGAGAATCTTTTAAAAATAAGGATGCCAAGCAAAATGCTTACTATTCTGTTTTGTCTTCTCTTTACCCTCACTTGCACTTGTAGAATTTGGCAAGACACAAAAAAGCAAAAAGATTCTGTTTCACGTCTGTGTTGATTACAGACAGAGAAGAAAACTGTAGAAAAAGCTAGTTGAAGAAATCCAAAACACAAGTGTTCATGGAGAAATGGGTGAAGACACTATGCTCCTCACCTTTCCCGTGATAGGGAATCAGGTCAGGCTCTCAAAACCATTATATGGAAGGGTGACCCGCAAAGACAGAGTACTTGATAAACAAAAGTTCTAGAAGGATCCTTTTTCTAAAACCAAACTGATTAATTGATGTTACTAATCTACCATGTCATGTCACCCTTCTTGAATCTCTTTTCAAATGTTTAGAAACCCTTGTTACAACGCTGTCACGACTGAGGCAGATTCTTCCATAAGTTTTCTGTTATTCAGATTTTAACCCGC